TCCCGTACAGTGGATGCGTACATTCTCAATCCCTGGCCTGGAATATTTTGCTAAATCCACCCCCCCTGCCCAATCCTCTTGCAGTCACAGGTAGATCGGTCGTACGCCTGGCATCTCCCTCGTCCGTTTGGACAGTGCGGCCTAACAGCCACCACATCCCAGGGCTGCGCCCAAACTTCACTGTCGGAAACATCCTATCCAGCTCCCAACGACTCAATGACGGATCATAGGGTCCCGAATCCTTCTGTCAGCCAGGTGTTCCCCTTCGCCCAAACCCTGTCCACTCCTGGCATCATGACGGGCCAAATAGAGGCCAGACTGTCTTCTGGGGGAGTTGAGGACCAGGCAGGATGCAGTAGTCTTCCGCATCTGTTGGAGAGACCAGTGGACGATGGGGAGACCGGCTTCCATGACAGACACAACTGTCCCCCTCCAGGGGACATCCTAGAGACAATGAAGTTGAGACGACCAACTCACCCTACCTGTTCCGCCTGTCTCTGCCTCGACCTCTACCCACCCTCCGCCAGCTTCAGTTGGTCCTATGAGCAACAACACCTCTGTGGAGGTGGCACCCTACGTGGAATTCCTATCGGGTGAGATCAGTCACATTGGCAGCTCTTAGATTTTTTCACTCAGCCTTGCTTCAACTGGTGTACCTAAAACAGTAAAAATGCATGACTTATTTGTCAAATCATACTGGTTCTTGGGGAAATTAACGCGTCAATGGGTAAACGTAGCAAAAGGAGGTTTTTTGCGTTGAGTCACACAAATGTGTTGTGGGACGCTATATGGTTCTCCAATTAGCTAAGCATTCAACATAGATGAAGGAGACAAACTGTTCAGAGGACTAGTTCCGTTCATGATACTTCATTCTTCTGCAGAAAGAACTTGTATTTTGTTGGCATTAAAGGACGTGACGAGTTAATGCCTTTTGTCAGGTTGCGAGGCTTTTCTATGACAAGCAATTCGAACTGGTCATCTTATTAGCGCGTCTCAGAGTCACTTCCACCTATGGTCAAAAATTTTTAGGAGAAAGTAATTTATTTGTGAACTGGTTCACTTGATGAACGAAGGACTTGTAAACGTGAAAATCATGTCTGCTGTACAACCAAGACCTCTTTTTCTTCGAATTCTGCCCTTTACGAAAATTTTACATGACCGAAATCGATTATTGCGTGAATCAGTCCAAATTACGACGGTCACGCCACTAAGTATATCGTTGGATAGAAATTTGGCAGTTTGTGTAATATGCAATTGTGCCTAGAGTTCGAAGGGGCTTCGAACTAGGGACACTTCGTCTCTCGGTCTGTAGAAAAAACGACTACACGGCGATCAAGTAATCTGAGAATCGTCTTTATTTCGATTTTGGGTATTTTGGGGAAAATGAGCCTCTACGGCCAGACAAATACTGCCGTAGTTAAACGATAAAACTCAAAAGTTGACAACACTGTCGGATGAAATATTCTTTGCGACGGATGCCTGCTTTAAAATTAATTGAGATTAAGGAGGATTTAAAATCGGTGGGTTTTCTGTAGATGGGTTTTAATTTTCACTATAAATGTAGACGGTCGTTTTTGCGCAAATTGTAACTTCACATTAAGCAGGTGTCCGCAGGTCTATTTGGATCTCAGAATAAGATAAGACATCTGTATCTTGTCTTGAATCTCCTGTTTTAGAGTCCATTCGAGGGATCCTATAGCGGCCAGCCATCAGTAATCGTCAAGTTCTTTTGGACAGAGGCAAGGGATACCTGATTGATCAGTACGCCTGACTGTGTTTCTCAAAGGAAAGCTATAAATACCCGGCAGATTGAAATATTAGTCGTCAACTTCTCTGAATTTTCAAATTGTTGATTTTTGAAAATTTATAGATAATGAGCTCTACTCTCCCCAAGTTAATTTTAACAAAGCCTCCCTTCTATTTAACAAGAGTGACTGACTTCCCCAGAGATACTTAGAAGGAAAATTTTTAACTTACAAATTTTTCATGGTCAGATGACTCGGAGACTACATCACAGGCGTTTGACACAGGATCGGAATACCGTTGACTGATGACACCATATAAGCCCTAGATGGCCATTCTAGTGTCTCTCACCTCTGTAGACGATGCTCCGCGCTTTGCAACATAAATAATGCAACTTTTATTCTGCTTGATTACTTTGTCAGAGCGTACTTGCTGTTTCACTCAGATCAGATGTTCTACGACGGAATTCGAGTAGTTTATCCATCACATTTACTACCCAAGCCGGCAGGTGCTTCTTGGTTCGGTTGCAAGACCTTAGGGTCGTATAACCCATTCATCCTACTCCAAACAAACAGGCTTATGTGTAAACGCAGGTATTGGTGGCTGGGACGACTGTTATCCCCCCGGTTCTACAGCCATTAGCCCAAAACTTGTGTAAATCATCTTCGGCTGAGATGTCGAAAATATTCTTCAAAAAACTGCGGACTACCAAAGTCTCATTTATTTTCTATAGGCTTCTCTTTTCTAAGATACTTAAGAGTGTAAATTCGTCTTTTTCACCATAAAAAGGTTATCTTCAACTGACATTCACCCATGTTTCTAGATATGGTACGTTTAAAATATACGTTTTTCGGAGACGCTTTCCTATATTAAGCCTTTTAACTTCACCCGCAGTTAATATCCTAAGGACAAGGGTTTTTAGATTTATCTCGTTAGTCAGTATGAATGGTTCAACAGAAGCCGGACCCGGTGTAGCAATCGCGCAATTTTCAAAATTTTTTTCACAATTTTCTAAGGGTAGTCAGTAGTGTTTGAATATATACTGGTGTCAGTGATATTTGCTCAAATACACATATCAACTCTCGGAAAGTATCTGAATAGACTTGTCCTGATGCCTTACATCAAATTCCAAACTTTACATTGAGAAAAGAGGTAATTACAAAACCCACAGAATTCATACGGCGAACGCCGGGGGACCAAATGATGAGCAGGACTTCCCCCGCGGTTGCGTTAGGCGACGACGCATTGTCTGACCTTTTAACTAGCATTTGTGTTAGGAGTATGGCAAAATAATCCCGATGAATTTTACAAGCCTTTCCTCGTCTCTTAATTCTTTCTTTAGGGATCAGTAAGAAGGCATTTTAATTGCCATTTGCCTCAACAAGAGGAACCAAGGATTTATTTTCTGGCATGTGTACGCACTATATTGTTATAGCCAACCAAGAATATCTACATGTGAAAGCTCCACTTTCAACGGGGGTTTGTGACATTCATTTGACAACTCCGAACTTGACTGTTGCTCTCGGCAAATCTTTCCGGAAATCTGTCCTTGCCTTCTCATCTAAATACTTAAAACGAGAGTTAACGCCTCATTGTCGTCCATTTCGGTCTAACGTGGGTATTAAAGTCGAACTTAAACTACGCTGAGACCTATGCACTTATGTTTGCCGTCGCACACAGATCCAACCGGCGCCGTTTAGGTATATGGTTCGGGAACGGTCGTCTCAGGTCCAGTGAAGAGTAGGCTACGACTGGTAGTTTTTCCTTTGCGAAGACTTATGCCAGTCAAGAGAAGGTGAAAGGCTCAAGCATTCTCTCTTCCATCCAACCGGGAGTTTTCATATAAGAATAAATGACAGGAGGGTTTGTTTGTTTTTATTGCAAGTTCACACATTAAAGGATGTACTGTTCGGGTGCCGGCGAATCTGAGGTCGCCTTTCCAGATTATAGCAGAATGTCAGTACGCGGTTCGACTGGCAGATCGTTGAGCTAAGCTGTCGACTGAACCTACCTAGCTGGAGATGACAAAACCTGTCACTATTGAATATACTAATCACCCTCACCATTGTCAGTGAGTTTGAGCTGCACAGCGGCCCCACGCTATGCGGCCATTCGCATGGATTCTAAACTCGGAATCCCAGGCGAAAAGGGAAATGGCCATTTCCGTCTCGCCTTCCAGACCTATGCTTAAAAACTACTCAGATATAATGGTTTTGCCATTGACACACCTGTATGGGTTTTACTAGTCTCAGTTGTAACAGAATAAACGTGAACCTGTGGTTCAGGAGGTAATAGTAACCACGTTGACCGTCTGGAGCATCTTACAAGTCATAGGTCTTCTGGGCGTAAAGTTTTAGTAGGGCTGACAGACTGCCCGGGGACGGCAAGTAACCCCGAAATTACCGCCATAGGCTCCCATGTCTATGATACAGTAGGTGGGTTAACTCATGAAATGCCAGCAGAAATTCCGAAATGCGTTTTCGTTTAGAAAAGGGTAATTAAGCAGGGTTGTAAAACTAGTCAGCCTGCAACATAATTCTATAATATTTCAGTGACCTCAGGATGCCAGCTTCCAAACGCACTATCTTCCGGCTGCATGCAAAAAATACACTCTGTAAAAAATGACTACTTAAGTGGCGTGCAACTTATTCATTGATTTTTGATGCCCTTAAAAATTCAATTATAGTTCATGGAAAATATGCATAAAATATCCATTCTTTTGCACATTCAGCAGACAATTACGTCCTCTTTTAATTTCACACTCGAAGGAAGGGTATAATTTGGTTTTATAAAACTTTTCCAATTCCTGAATAATTTTGGGCCCACTTAACCGTTACACTTGGATTCAGGGTTTAAAAACTACAAGCCGTATATTTTCCGCGTACGGAAAATCACACATTTCTCTACGGTAATAAAGGGGGACCATATAAGGTTCATAAAATTAAGCAGTGGATTTGATCCATATTGGTAACTTTACAAGCCACATTGGTAAATGCAAACACATGACGACTTAGGAATAGCCATTTCACGGTATTCAAAAGTCCCATATTTAGAAACTTTTTCAAAACCGAATTATGTCCCTCCTTTGGGTGTCAAATTAGAGGAAGACGTAATTATCTACCGAGTGAGCAAAAGAATGAATAGTCTTATGCATGTTTTCCATGAAGTATAATTAGATTTTCAGAGGCAACGAAAATCAATGAGAAAAATGCATGCTACATAAGTAGTCACTATCTGCAGAGTGTAGTTTTTGCATGCAGCCGGAAGGAAGTTCATTCGACAGTCGGCATCCTGAGGTTACTGAAATATCATAGTATTATGTTGCAGGCTGACTAGTTTTACAACCCTATTTAATTAATCTTTTCTAAACGAAAACGCATTTCGGAATTTCTGCTGGCATTTCATGAGTTATCCCACCTACTGCAAGTCAAATCTCAACCAACATGAATGGCTTGATGTAGAGTAAAATTTCTCAGCGATGGCATCTGGTAGGGGTTCTTGGTAGTTTTTCAGCGATATGCGTCCAGATCGCAGATTAGTTACAAAAGAAGAATTCTATGACGCAAACAGTTCGATATTCTAGTAGTTCGTGCTATGAAATTATCTAAAAACCCTGTCTAGAGAAAATTATTTCCTGTCGTAGATTCAGATGACATCTTGGGACAGAGACATTTTAACCTTGAAACAGACACTGGCTTCCATGCTTCATTAAATGTCTCTCTGTATGACTATCATCATTAAATGACCTAAATCTTGTTGGGAAAAATTTGACGGCACAGGTGGTATGAATAACCATCCCGAGCTTGATTGTTGTCCTCGACTAGTCCTGCCCTAACCCTAGATATTTACGAACTGAGAATTAGCTATTTATCATATTGGTTGCCTAAAATTGTGCCTTTTAAACACGGCTCGATACCTGTCAAATGCAGCCGGATCTTCTGTATCTCGTCAAACAACCAGATCGGATCGCTTAGTACCACTCTACTGTAATTAAATTTCATCCTTCGGATGACAGGGAAATTTTCTGCTGATATGCCCGTCTGCTGGCACGGAGGATTAGGAAGACCTTTGATGCCGCTGGTATGCAAGAGTACGGATACTGCTTATGCTGACAAAAATACTTAGATATCTTTTAGTACTCCATCCGTTTGATTCAGGATCGAGGTTTATACCAATATGTGTTTCCAAATATCCTCACTTTTCTTATTATATTTGCTGTTTTGCACAACGTTTTCCAATGCAATGACAAGCGTAGTTGTCTCCAAGACGATTTGGTCTACCTACGGCGAGCGGGTACAATAAGATCTCGTTTTACCACTTACTTGCATGCGGCCTCGCTTTCATTCTGTGCCTAACTTTCAGCTTTAGCTCAAGTCTTGACGGTCCACGACGGAAGAACGCAACTAGAGAGAAGATTGCAACCTTGAAGACCTGGCTCCAAGACCACGCGACCAATCCCTACCCGACAAAGGGCGAGAAAATCATGCTCGCTATCGTCACGAAAATGACTTTTAATCAGGTCAGTAAATGGGGTCTTCTCTCCAATAGGAGCCTTTCCTTCAGCCTATCAGCTTCAGTTGGCCACAGTAGTCTGAGAGCAGACTGTGGAGGTTTCTCGGAGTGAAAGATCTCCAGGAATTTCAAAAATCTTCGACCCAACGAGTTGTTTATAAACATATCAGTGGAAAGTGTGGACAAATCTCTTCCATGCTAGGCGTCCTTTGCAGATGAAACACAAATCACCAGACTTTTATACTGAAGGCTAATATCTGAAACCCACACAGTGGTTTATCCATTTCAAATGTAATGAGTCAGGAAAACAAAAGTATCCATTTTATGCAGACCAGCCCCGAACGACACAAGCTTTCATGTCAACTGCTTTGAGTAGAACATGCCTCTGCTTCCACAAAACTAAGTACTGTGTATATTATTTTCAGGTCCCAGACTTGAAATCTCCCTTAATAAGCAAGGGCCAAAATGCAATTATAGAGACCTAAAACCCACTGACGTCTGTTCTGTGTATGTAAGGTTGCCAAATATAAATCTAGACAAGATTTTCCACAAAAACGCTATCCCTGCCGAAGTTCGTCGTAGCTGCTCACTAGATAAATCCATGAACCGGCTCGGGATGCATGAAACGTATGCATTACAACTACTGTGTCCTGTAAACTGTCTTCTCTGGGCTAGAAAACAATTAACAACTTCAGAAAGGAAGCCATAATCCTGGATTAACGGCCACAAACTGCTTCTGATGTTCCATTCATTACTCATTCCTTTAACCGAAAGCTTTATGCGTGCAGTAAGATGTCTCATGACTGATAGGCGTAAAGGGTAACTTCAAGTTAGTTAACTTGTCCGGACCCACTAGGTTCATCCTCGAGACTGTTCTAGTTGTTTATTCAAATTCAATCTCTAAAAAATTGTTCAGATAATATTTTTTCCATTACTTTTCAATGTGCTTCCAAAATTTGCCAAAATTGGCGGGTAGATTTAAATTTAACCCGGAGAATTGGAAGTACGGCTATGGGGACGTATCGCTGGGTAGCTTGTTGTTGATGAATTTGAAATTAATTTTTACGTAGTTAAGTAGAAATATTGAGACAATATTAATATAACAAGTTGAATTTTCCCCCTCTTCCATATGGCATGAAATGCCAATCCTACTTCTGATGGACTCTACATTAAAATTGTTATTTTCCTTGCAATTTATTGGCGCACGGTTTGTTCCCCAATAGTTTATTCAGAAACTAGTTTTGTCACGATAACTAGTATTTGAAGCGATGGACAGTCTTTCTGGTTTAGTAAATTGCTCTTTAAAATTCCGTTCAGAGTTTACCTAGGTCTGTGCATAAGTTACTATTTGTGGAATCCCCTACCCATGGCTGACGTTTTATGCCGTAAATGCAAGCTACGACAATTATTATCTTAAGAAAATTTTCTGAATTTATTACGAATTACTCAAACAGAAAGACTGCATTCAGATAAGGACACGCAGTGAACTAGACATTCAGGAAGTAAAAGACAGCATAGTTACTTAAAAACGATTTGGAAAGAATAATTGGAAAAGTGCCTAACTATCGAGGTATGGAAAAATTGTGGATTCACCGATGCCTATGACCGTAAAATAGCGTAAGTAGGGATAGTCTGGACAGATATGTTTCTTACTGTTTCAAAAAATCAGTCCAATTTACAATTACTTTTTTGTATCATCTAGTTCCTCCGAAAGCAGCTCGTTCATTCTTTTTGGTAGTGTTAAAATACCTTTTGTTCAGGTCTTGCGTTTGGAACTCTCTCTAAAGCAACTAGCGTTTGCTGGTTTAACTCTATATCTGCCTTATTTTTATAGCGTCACACTTTGCAACTGATGCGTATTTAAATAAACCTTAAAAATGAATCATGTAAACACATTTGTGACAGCTTTTCAGTTGCTTCCTTCCGATGCGTAACCACGAAATCAAAAGAAGGCGCAAGAAGTTATAGATTGTTTCTAAAAAGCGTTACAAAATAACAATATACACTTCAATAAATCAACTTTTAAAAACGACGAAATACATCTATAACACGATGAAAACAAGCGGGGATGCCACTTAACCCTGTATTCCATAAAATCGGTGCCCTCCTTGAAATTTTATTTGAGCTTATCATGCGTTAATTCATCTGCACTCCGCAAACTGTTATTGACTAAAAACCCAGACACATGATCAGCCGGATTTCTGTTGCTGAACAACGCATCTGAAGAGTCCCCCAGTGTTTCTTGCGTGATTTTAGGCAGGTACTACAAGTTTGAGTGTTAGTTGTCCAATTTGACAAGAAATTAGCAGTTGACCTTGAAACAGGCCCCAGGGAGGAAAGCTTTTCGGCCCAGAAGCATAATTTATCCACCTGATGAATACTACACAGTTTTTCCTTTGGGATAAATAGAATTCAACCATAACACCCATAATTTTCCTGTTAAACCTAAAAACATTATTTAAGGATGAAGGGCCAACTCGTTACGAAATTGTGACCTTAGCTTTAATGCATATTTCCCACTCCATCAAGCTACTTATTCATATGAATCTTTAAAAACGGGACTCTTTGCAAATGCGTTGAGTCTGAAGAATGTCTTGCTAACACGATGTCTTTAGATGGAGGGACAAGTTTCAGTTAATAAAATATATATGGTCGCTTATTGTAGACTTATTACATCGATCTTCCGTTTGATGCATAATGCAAATAAAAATGACTCAAGCAAACTTGTACCACAGACCAAACTTAGGAAAAATACAATAATGAACCCCCAAAGGCTCCTAATTGTTAGTCGCATATTTTATTGCTAGTATATATGCTATCTCATGAGAAGTTGGCTGAAATTCTGAAAGTCGTTTTCAACCCGAAAAGACTATTGAAGCACGGTTGTCATTTTAACTATCATGTCGAACAATGCCATAATATTCCAATCACGCCAGGATTCCAGCTTTCGAATGAGCTTCTTATCAACCGTTTTGAGCCAATTACCTCTCGTCAGAAATGACTACTTGCCTAGCGTGAGTTTTCGCATTTCTGTGTCCCCGTAAATTCGAGTATATTTCATAGAAACCATGCACAAAATAATTCCTTCTTCACTCATATGGTAGAAAAAATGTCTTCTTTAAAGTTTATGTTTAAAGAAGGAGAATCTAGCGATCTAAAAACTTTTATAATTCCCGAATAATTTTTAACCCGACCTGCCGTAACACTTCCATTCAGGATTCCCAAACCACAAGCTGTAAGGGAAATCATAAACGATATTTAGAGGACACATAGGGTTCTTAAAATTTTGTAATCTCTAGGGACCATGTTGTTCACTTGATAAGCAGCACTGATAAATATGCTGATGCGATTCTTCATGATCGGGCACTTCACCTTCGTAAAAAGTCTCAAAATTAGGAACATAAAATTTAAAGGGGACGTTGTTTTCTACCAAGTGGGTGAGAGAGGGAATATTTTTTCACATGCTTTCTATAAAATATACCTGAATTTACAGGGACACAGAAAATCAATTCATAAAAACTCACGCTATTTAAGTATTCATTTTTGATTGGATGCAGCTGGCGCAAAACGGTTGATAAGAAGCTCATTCGAAAGCCGATATCCTGACGTGACCGGAATATTATGACATTGTGCGACATGATAGTTAACATGACAACTGTGCTTAAGTAGTCTTTTCGGATTGAAAGCGACTTTCAGAATTTCAATTAACATTTCATGAAATAGCTTATCTACTGTCGTTGAGAGCGCGTTATACGCCATCTCAGACAATTTCAATAACATTTAAGGGTAAGTCAAATTTTGGTGATAGTAGCTGTGCCCAGTCAGGCGGATTTTTTTTTCCTATTTACTGACGCTTCGTCCCTCGCGTGTGAATTTTTTTTCATTTCTATGTCTGTTAAATCCGGACGTTATAGTGACAGTATATTATTAACAAGCAGTAACAGTGCCTAATTAACAGTTCGTCATTTCTTTGAAAAGACTGGCGCCACTGCCTATCGAAATCGAGGTCTTGGCTCAGAGCAATATAAGCGTTTTGGCCTTTGAAGGAAAGAAGTCAAATAGGACCAACTGTAAATGACAGAATACGCCCCGAAGGTCCAGGGGTTGGGTTGTCCGTACCACTAAATTTCCCAAGACCTGTGTGTCCAGAAAGGGCTAGCTTTTCACAGAGTGAGTCCAAACCACACACTAAAATCCGCCCATCTGTCGAGCATATGCTCATGCAGTGTTCCCACGACATAACTCATCGAATTCATTGCACTGTTGCCGTACCACGATTTTTCCAGAAGTCACTGTGAGCTGTATCAACCGGAATGATGAACTCGAGTTTCTCACAAATAATTACGCCTGCGTGGGTGATTTTAGCCCCTTCTTGGCCCGTTCTTTTTAGATCTCTACGTGGTTTGCAAATGCACGGCGTCGCCTAAAAAAGGAGAAAAAGATGACCTGGACACCCAAACAGCTTTCTTCTTCCGCAATGCGAAGGGCTGTGAAGTTGAAACCGATCAATCCCGATAGCGGCAGCAGCGATAAAGCGAAGGAAGAGGACGAAGACGAAGAAGAGGAAGGGGACGACTGGATGAATGAGGACCAGAAGACGGTACAGGCTAGCTGTAGTTCCGATGAATTTTGCTCACCGCACCGTCACCACGGAGTCCGGCAGCTCGATACCACTGAGTGTTCTGATATGGCCGAGAATTTTGGGGCTTCCCCAGTCACTTCTTTTCCATCCGCCCGGTCTGGTGACATCATGCATCCTCTGACTTACCCGGGGGTTGCTCCCTGTCTTAGGCATCACGAATACCCCTCCTTTTCCACCCACTCCGACCCCTACCAACAGGCTCCATTTGCACCGAACTTCGCCTCCTACTGGTGTAACGATGTGATTTCGCCCGATGGTGCATTTTTAAACCAGCCATTGACTCCCTCTCTCTGGCCAGCCACTTCCCTCCTTGACTGTCGCAACGGGAATTTCACCGCGTATCCGACTTTCGAGGGACAACGACTATCATAACTGTGTTTTACATTCGACATAGGCCCTCTGAGGACGGGGCGGACTGTGTCTTTTCAACATTTTCAATTCTTGATATTGTGTACTTTGTGTAAATAAAGCATTGACATCGTGAAATAGTTGATGTTTATGGGAGGTACTGCCTTTCGACTTTAAATAAAGAAAAATTAACAAAAATATCGATGAATTTGTTCTCTGTTGGAAGCATAGGACACCGTGTTCTTCAGCCAAACGCTATATAGTTAAGTTTTTCAGACACGTTACGGCTTTGATTTGTGGACGCGGCGTCTATTTTGCAAACCAAGTGAGGAATAAGCTCCTAGCATTGCTGAACGAAGTACAAACACTTTTCACCGGCAGTTAAATATTTCCTCAGAGCGAAACCTCCGAGAGCAAATTATTCATTTACATTGTTAGAGATAGTTTAGAATATGACCAAAATTAAGAAACTAATGCTTTTAGGTAATTTCGTTGATTCCGCTCCTTATATATACTGGTATTCCCAGCGTGATTTATAATTACAATGTTGAGGCATGAGCTGGTGGGGTTACAATGGTGGGATACAGCGAACAGCGTCTTAAGTGACTTCGTAAATAACTGAATGTTAATCTTCGATCCAGAAGTCCACTGGTTACCTATGCCTACTTATTTCTTCCTGAGATCATTTCGTACCTAGCACATGTTATTCTCATTCTTCATCAGAGTTTGCGTATATACATATGTTGCGTGATACACCATACCTGAGAGAACAGGTACTATCTAAAAGCCCAGGCATGTGTTTCTCCGATTTTCTTCTGCCTTATGACACAGCTGCGAGGTGTTCGGCTCATCAATGCGTTCCACAGCATTCCCGTGTGCTTCCTCGTAGATATTCCAGTTTTTGAAATTGCACATTATTACTTTCTTCAGAAATTAATCGCTAACTCAGAGTAAATCAGTTTGAATTGAACCTTTCAGGCTTACACCGAAAGTCGGTATGAGTTTTTTGACTGAAGTCCACCGCTCACAGCGGAATGACCGCGTAATATTCATAAACTGTCAACAGGCAGTCAGTAGTATATGCATAGGTTGCATAATATACCACACTGATAAGCCGGACTTCTCCCAACTGTGTCATGGAGCCGCAGAATATCGGCGAAACACGTGTCTCAGTTTTGGGCTGGTATCTGTGCTGTAAAGTAGGGTGTATCACGTAACCTATGCACAGAATACTGGCTATCTGTCGGCAGTTAAAGGGAGTTGCGCGGTTATCCCTCTGCAGCTGGTGAACTTCCGCTTGAATATTCATGTCGATTTTCAGCTTGAACCCAGAAAGTTTAATTCCCGTTGACTTACTCCACGCTGGCGATCAATTTTCTGAAAAATTAAAAAGACGCAAGTTTGTGTATAATCAGCCATCTACGGTCGTTAATAGGCCGACAGGACTCCGTGAGCGCCTACGGAGATCGTGAGGTGGTCCAAAATCAGGTTTCTGAGGCGAAGATGCACCAACTCCCCACGCTTCTGGTCTGATGAGATCAGTTACACATAAGTTTCATCTCTGTGTAAAACATTAAGCTGTGCTTCGTGTGCATCTCCAATTATATTAGCCGGAAAGTCAACAATTTCCCATCTGTACATACTGTGGATGGTACTTCTGCATTTCGTGGAAGTTACTTTGTACAGTAGGTGGGCTAACTTATGAATTGTCAACCAAAATTTCAAAATGCGTTCTCGTTTCGAAAAGATTAATTAAGTAGGGTTGTAAAACTAATCATCATGCAACAGAGTTATATAATGATCCAGATACCTCAGTGTGTCGGCTTTCGAGCGAACTTATTACCGGCTGCATGCAAGGACAATACTCTACAAAAGATGACTACTTACAGTGAGTGACCTATCTCATGAAATGTTGGCTGAAATTCTGAAATGCGTTTTCGATTAGGAAGGATTACTTGGTCGCGGTTGTGAGACTATTATCTTAAGGCATACTTTTATACCATTTCGGACTCGGCAAGATGTCGCCTTTTAAATGCACTTCTTTCCAATCGCCTGTAGAAAGCTTTCTCGGTAAAAACTGACTACTTATGTAGCATGCATTTTTCCCATTGATTTTCGGTGGTCTTGGAAATTCAAATATATTTTTAAAAAGTTTTCTGATTGCCGAAAAATTTGTAGCCTGATCCTTCGTTGCATTAGCGCTTAATGATTACACTCTACAAGGTGCATGCGTTCCGCGTAAAGAAAATCCCATATTTTTCTATGTCATTAAAGAGATATCATACAGGGTTCATGAAATTTTGCAATGGATGCGGACCATGTTGCACATTTCATGAGGAGCAGTGGTAAACGGCCAGATACGATGCTATGTGAATGGACATTTCGCGGTCTTAAAAAGTCTCATAATTAGAAACTTTTTTAAAACCTAATTATACTCCTTCCTTAAGTAGAAAATATAAAGAAGACGTGATTCTCTATTGATTGACTAAAAGAAAGCACATTTTTGTTTGTGGTTTCTATAAAATATATTTGAATTTCCAAGACCATCGAAAATCAATGGGAAAAATGCATGCTACATAAGTAGTCAGTTTTTACCGAGAAAGCTTTCTACAGGCGATTGGAAAGAAGTGCATTTAAAAGGCGACATCTTGCCGAGTCCGAAATGGTATAAAAGTATGCCTTAAGATAATAGTCTCACAACCGCGACCAAGTAATCCTTCCTAATCGAAAACGCATTTCAAAATTTCAGCCAACATTTCATGAGATAGGTCACGCACTGTATGTAGCATGCAATATTCTCATTGATTTTCGATGCCCTTAAGAGTTCAATTATACATCATGGAAAACATGCCTAAAACTATTCATTCTTTTCCTTATTCGGTAGAAAATTACGTCTTCTTTCAATTTTCTACTCGAATGAAGGGTGTAATTCGGTTTCAAAAAAGTGTCTAATTGTGAGGTTTTTAATGCCGTGAAATGGCCGTTCATAAAACGTCATGTATCTCATTTACCAATTTGGCTTGTAAAATTAACAATGTGGCTCAAATCCACTGCTTCATTTTATGAACCCCATATAGTCTCCTCTTAATACGATAGAAAAAAGTATGGTTTTCCGTAAGCGGAAATTATAGGACCTGTAGTTTGGGAACTCTGATTGCAAGTGTAACGGGAGATCGGGTTCAGAATTATTTGGGAATTCGAAAAGTTTTTAAAGACCGAATTATATCCCTCCTTCGAGTATAAAATTGGAAGAAGACTTGATTTTCTACCGAATAGGGAAAAGAATGAATATTTTTATGCATGTTTTCCATGAAATAAAATTGAATTTTCAAGGGCATCGAAAATCTATGAGAAAATTGCATTCTACATAAGTATTCATTTATTGCAGAGTATAGTCCTTGCATGCAGTCGGAAATAAGTTCATTCGAAAGCCGCCACACTGAGGTATCTGGATCATTATATAATTATGTTGCATGATGATTAGTTTAACAACCTTACTAAATTAATCTTTTTCGAAACGAGGACGCATATCGAAATTTCGGTTAACATTTCATGAGTTAGCAAACCTACTGTACTTGCGAATTTATCCTCATCGAAAGGCGAGCCTCCGTCCAAAAATACAGAAAACAGGAGAGCGGAGTACTGTTAGCTCTACCAGTGTTATAGCTCTTCCACTCATGATCCTTCTGGGGTTGGTGGCCCATCTGAACTCCTTTTCGTGCAAACCGAATTAACTTTCAAAATCCTTCCGAAAGTTCAACATTGGTGGTGGCCGGAGGCAGATCGGAAAACATCTGATGTGGCAAAGTTACCTTTCTTTTTGCTTCCGTACTGACACGTTCTGAAAAAGTGGTCTAGGATTGGAAAATAAGACACCCTGCATGAGTGGTGGAGAGGTCGATATTTTATATCGCTACGTCTGAAGGGAATGGTACTCTTGCCCATGCTAGGCAACATGATTTAAATTGCGGTTTACGGACAGCGCAGGGAAGGACTGAAGAGATCATGTTCGATTTGTAGGTCAGCATAATCCGCTTATATCTCAAAACGAAGCTTAAAGAGAAGTCTGTTGAGTTCAGAAGTTAACATTCATTCATACCAACTCAAAGGCCCACACCGTGCTGGCTACGATCAGTAATACCGCAAATCCCATGGAACTTGTGTTCACCTGTCTGCCTGATCGTTAGACAGGGCGGGGGCCCTCAGTTTTTCCATAGAGATCCAACTTTCAGCGGGCGCAGGCAGTAGACAATAGGATGACGGTTCCCCACCCCTAGCTACTGACATCTGCAGAACACACTCAAACCCGCTACCAGAGAACTCTGAACTTTGGCCCACGATGCTGTTAACCACAGAACCTCAACCTCGGTCGGTTGAGCCAGGGATCCAAGTTTCAAAAAGCCATCGTTCAAAAATCGACTTAGAATTCTCAGTCTTTAGGATTTACCGCTTCCCATGCGATTTTCA